ACTAAGATGCACTGACTGTCCCCAACGCTATGCGATAGACACACCAGGCAGACTCTGACTGACGGACGGATGTCGAAAGACCAGACGTGGTGCCGAAGCCCACTATTTATATGAAGACCAAAACAATCGATGCATCTGTTACACTTGAAGTGACCAATAAATCTATCACCTCCTTCTTAAGGGATGAATATGGTCTTTGTTCGCTATTCCAGTTTAATGGAAAGAACGTGATCCAGAATGTTGAGTAAATCAAATAAATGTCCGCGTTAATTATGTCACGCTTATAAATAATAAACAAATACTCTCATTAGAACTTCTCAACCGGATAGATTTGATTTGGAATAAACAAATAAATAAATATCCATAATAAATAAATAATATAAATTTTAAAACAGATGCCCTCGTTGTTGGCCAGATTTCGTTGGGATCACAACACCTTCCCCCTTAAAAGGAAACAAATTTTTTTTATTATATTAATTAGGTTAAAATTTGTTTTTGTTTTTCTTGAAATTTTTAGTAATTTTTCTTCTTTTCTTCTTCTTGTTTATTCTTTGATTGATTAGACTCGTTTTTAAATCTTGAGCACTCTTCAGGTGTTTCTTTGCGTAATCCCTTTGTGAGAATCTTGATTTTACAAGATTTTGGCGAAGTCATATGCGTTACTTTTTCGCATAGATATTCCAAGTGAGTTGTCAGTCCAGACAAATTGAGGTTTTCCCAGTAATGGAATTTTTTTTTTTTTTTTTTTTTTTTATTGCTCATCAGAGGCAAAGGACTTGAGGTTGGATAAAAGAATAATTTTTTGATAAATTTCCTCTGATAGGAATAGGAAGTGTTTTACATAAAAAATTTTTTTTACAGGATAATGTATTAGTGGATGAATGATATGTTGCCGTGCAAACAGAATTGTACATTATTCATAATATTACCAATACATTTATGTCATTTCAATTCTTGTTTTATATCATCAGTATAGTAGTTCATTAATATACTTCGTGAGTCATTTATTGTCAGTTCCTTCGTTAGGGAACCCGGAATTAAAGGCTTTTATCATCAATCAAATATTCATCAAGATATTATCCCAAGGAGGAGTGGACGTAAGAGTTACAAGAAGATTTAGCAAAGGATATGAATTCGTCCACTTGTTTTACTTTTTTATTTATTTAATTTTTTAAAGAATCCCTTTGAGTGAGATGGGATCTTTCAAATGTCCCATTTGATTGTGGGAAATATTTAGGATCAGTTGTTTTTTTGAACAACCTACTTTACCAGGGAATATTCAGGATCAGTTGCTTTCTGCAACCTACTTTACTAGGGAATATTCAGGATCAGTTGCTTTCTGCAACCTACTTTACTAGAAAATATTAAGGATCAGTTGCTTTACTGCAGCAACCTACTTTACTTGAAAATATTCAGGATCAGTTGCTTTCTGCAACCTACTTTACTAGAAAATATTAAGGATCAGTTGCTTTACTGCAGCAACCTACTTTACTTGAAAATATTCAGGATCAGTTGCTTTCTGCAACCTACTTTACTAGAAAATATTTAGGATCAGTTGCTTTTAAGCAACCTACTTTACTTGAAAATATTTAGGATCAGTTGCTTTTAAGCAACCTACTTTACTTGAAAATATTTAGGATCAGTTGCTTTACCTGCAACCTACTTTAAGGAAAATTTTTCTTTCCTTTATTTATTTTTTATTTTTATATTTTTTATTTTTATTGATTCCCACTTTTGAAGAAATATAATATAATTTTTTGTCTTGATACTAATTTAGGATTCTTTTTATTTCCTCCTGGGTTTCGGGAAAGGATTCTTTTAATTTTTTTTTTTTTACCAATCACAGGTTGGACAGGAGGTTTATCAAATAGATAATGGATTATTTTCAATAAGTTTTTGTCCAAAACCTGTTTTGTCTTTGGATTTAGGATATAAGGATTTCCCGAAAATTTTTGTTTGAGTATTCATCTTTCAAATAATTATAAATATTTTTTTTTTTTTTTTAGATACCTTAGGCAATGAGATTTTATAAATTTATGAAAATTCTCGTTAATTCTAATTTTTTTATTTTTTTTTTATTTTTTATATTTTAAATTTACGATAGCTTTGGATAAATAGATTTTTTCTTTAGTTTTTGAATAGCTTAAATTCTGGGTCGTCAACTAAAAATGAAGTCGTTTTAACTTTTCCTTTTTTTTTTTCTTTTACGACCTTGCGCATATTTCACCATAATTCCTTCTTTATTTTCAGGATTTTTATTTTCGGTGTTGAGTTTTAAGTAAGCCAATACCTGACTGTTTAATTTTTCTAGTCTATAATAGAAGTCAGATACGGATTCATTATGTTTTTGTCTACAAACACCGAGGTCTTCGACTAACTGGGAGAAATGTACACTGTCTTGATATTTTTCTATTAATTTGCCTTTTAATTCGTCCCAATTATCGCACTCGTCAGTACAAATCCGTTCACTTGCCCTACCAGTTAACCGGGAACAGATAAATCGGAATAAAGGATATCTGTTCTCTTCGGAGGATAGATTAATGGCTTCGGTACAAGCGGAGATGAAACTGTTTAGTTTGACTCGCTCTCCAGAAAATTCGTTAGGAATTATTCTCCATAGGATTCCAGAGATAACGTTTGGGA